TCCTCATATCACGATCGGCCCCTCAGCCACGACGTCACACCCTATCCCAACATCGACTTCATCAGCGTCGAGTGTGTTGGGCTAGCGATCAGGCTCGCCATCCCCTCCTGGATGGTGACTATCGCCTCTATATGACGATCGGCTCCATCATCGCCTCGTCATCATATTTCGGACTGGCTCCTCATCATTGTCATCCGCACATCGCGATCAGCCTCTCGGCCGCGACGTGATTATTTATCTCAACACCGGCTTCATCAGCGTCGAGTGTGTTGAGCTAGCGAGCAGACTCGCCACTCCCTTCCTGGATGGCGCCCCTCGCCTCCATGTCACGAACGGCCTCATCAGTGTCGTCATCATCCAAGGACGCGCTTCATCAGCGACACAGTGTCATCGTCCTCAACTTTGGACAGGCGTCCAACGCCTTGTCCTTCACCTCAAGATCGGCCTCCCTAAAGCTGAGCGTCTTGAGCTAGCGAGCGGGCTCGCCACTCCCTTCCTGGATGGCGAGCCTCGCCTCCATGTCACGAACGGCCTCATCAGTGCCGTCATCATCCAAGGACGCGCTTCATCAGCGTCATCGTCCTCAACTTTGGACAGGCGTCCAATGCCTTGTCCTTCACCTCAAGATCGGCCTCCCTAGAGCCGAGCGTCTTGAGCTAGCGAGCGGGCTCGTCACTCCCTTCTTGGATGGCGACCCTCGCCTCCATGTCACGAACGACCTCATCAGTGCCGTCATCATCCAAGGACGCGCTTCATCAGCGTCATCGTCCTCAACTTTGGACAGGCGTCCAACGCCTTGTCCTTCACCTCAAGATCGGCCTCCCTAAAGCCGAGCGTCTTGAGCTAGCGAGCGGGCTCGCCACTCCCTTCCTGGATGGCGACCCTCGCCTCCATGACACGAACGGCCTCATCACTGCCGTCATCATCCAAGGACGTTCTTCATCAGCATCGTCGTCCTCAACTCTGGACATGCGTCTAACGCCTTGTCCTTCATCTCAAGATCGGCCTCCCTAGCGCCGAACGTTTTGAGCTAGCGAGCGGGCTCGCCATTTCCTTCCTGGATGGCGACCCTCGCTTTCATGCGACGAGCGGCTTCATCATCGTCGTCGTCCTTGTATCACGTCCGACCCTTCGGCCTCGGCATGAACATTTATCTCAACACCGGATTCATCAACGACGAGTGTGTTGAGCTAGCGATCGGGCTCACCATCCCTTCCTGGATGTTGACCGTCGCCTTCATATGATGATTGGCTCTATCATCGCCCCGTCATCATATTATAGGACCGGCTCCGCATTGTCTTTGTCCTCACATCGGGGCCGGCCACTCGGCTAAGGCGCGATACCTTACATCAAGACTGGTCTTAGCCATTCCTTTACTGGGTGGCGACCATTGCATGAATTCCTGGGCCATCCCCTCAGTGTCGATGCCCTCGCATCGCGGCAGGCCCTCGGCCTCAACATGATCATATTCCCCAAGACCGGTCTCAGTCATTTCTTCATCGAATGGTGACCGTTGCATGGACATTTGGCTCAGCCTCATAGTGCTGACGACCTCGCATCACGACCGGCCCCTCGGCCACGACGTGACGCCCTATCTCAACACCGGCTTCATCAGCGCTGAGTGTGTTGAGCTAGCGATCAGGCTCACCATCCCTTCCTGGATGGTGATCGTCGCCTTCATACGACGCACGGCTTATCATCGCCTCGTCCTCATATTCAAATCGGCTCATCAACGTCGTCATCCTCATATTCAGGCAGGCTTCCCCTCAGGAGACGGACACACCTAGGCCAAAGGGTTCACCCCTTGGAGTTCATTTTGGGGGATACGGTGTGCTCTTTTTCCCTCATTAGGATTTTTTCCCACAGGGTTTTTCCTAATGAGGTTTTTAACGAGGCATTGCCCCATTGTGGATAAAAAGGTGTCGACCCTCGGCCCCCTATTTGAAGACATACATTGCTCTACTCCTCTTCACCTCATTACATGAGCCTCGAGGAGTGGGGGACTGGGGGACTACATCGGCCTCCACATACATGAAGTCATCCAGAAAGCAACAAAAAGCAAGGACTACCAAGTGGTACCTCCATCGGCCATGTCTCCGTCTGTAACACCCCGGCCCCGTAGGCCCCGAGGTAGTTACTCTGGACTTCTAGTACTGTCCTCACAAACCGCCACTAGCCTTTTCCGCGCACTTTGTCCTCACTCGTGCGCGCCCTGAGAAACTTCCCAGGGGGTCACCCATCCCAAGACTACTCCCGTGCAAGCACGCTTAACTTTGGAGTTCTTGGGTGATGAGCTCCCTTAAAAGGAGATGCATCTTGTTGGTATGAGTAGTACTATTAATCCGTTTATATTAAATCTCAAGTGTTACAATCACCCCCACTTAGGAACGCAACGTCCTCGTTGCGCCCATAAACCAATCTCAATCAAATCCCAGAATCTTTTCCCTCGCTAAGTGTCTGCCCGATATCCAACGGATCAGCACACTGTCGCATGGTTGCTCTGATACCACCTGTAACACCCCGGCCCCGTAGGCCCCGAGGTAGTTACTCTGGACTTCTAGTACTGTCCTCACAAACCGCCACTAGCCTTTTCCGCGCACTTTGTCCTCACTCGTGCGCGCCCTGAGAAACTTCCCAGGGGGTCACCCATCCCAAGACTACTCCCGTGCAAGCACGCTTAACTTTGGAGTTCTTGGGTGATGAGCTCCCTTAAAAGGAGATGCATCTTGTTGGTATGAGTAGTACTATTAATCCGTTTATATTAAATCTCAAGTGTTACACCGTCGGCCAGAAGAAGGTCTGGGGGACTACATCGGCCTCCGGCGTAAAGAAACAAATTCAAAATCCAACGAACACAAGCCCATGACAATGGCACCTCAACGTCCAACAACCATGTGTTCACCCTTCGGCCAGGCCGAAGCGCAAAGCAGGACGCACACCGTCCTCAATGTCAAGGACACACATCGTCCTAAAGATCAAGGGCACGTGTCGTCCTCAAAGCCAAGGACACTCCTCGTCCTCAAGGCCAATGGCACGCATCGTCTCCGGGACTACGACATTCATCGTCCATATCACGAACAAAACGAACGCGCCACGAACGTCCGCAAGCGTAAGGTCCATCAATTAAAGTAAAAAACACGAGGGCATGACATTCTTCGTCCACAGAGCCAAGGGCGCACAACGTCCTCTGGTCCAGGACCCTCATCGTCCTCAAAGTGAAGGACATTCATCGTCCTCAAAGTGAAGGACATTCATCGTCCTCAAAATGAAGGACATTCATCGTCCTCAAAATGAAGGACATTCATCGTCCTCAAAATGAAGGACATCCATCGTCCTCAAGACGAAGGACATTCATCATCCTCAAAATGAAGGACATTCATCGTCCTCAAAATGAAGGACGCTCTTCGTCCTCAAGGTGAAGGATATCCACCGTCCTCAAAACGAAGGACATTCATCGTCCTCAAAATGAAGGACATTCATCTTCCTCGAAACAAAGGACACCCATCGTCCTCAAACAAGAGATAACCACAATGGCCTCCTTGGCCCAAAGTACGAAATTCAACCATCAACGGCCAGGAATAAGGAAGCACTGTCTTCATCGGCCACTCATGACAGAGGACGCTCATCGTCTCCACCAAGCAAAGACACTCGTCGTCCTTAAACAGAAAACATGCATCATCCACATGACTAGGGCCCTCTTCGTCCACATCGAGGAGCACGCAACGCCCAAACAAAAAAGGACATAAATCTACTCTCCTTCACTTCGTCAATGTCTCAGCTTAGAGAGTGGGGGACTCCTGATGGAGTATATGGGTCTAGGCCCTAGGACCCACATACTCAGAAGAACAGAAGGTACCACGATCACCGGGTGACCTCGTCGGCCATGCCCTCATCGGCCATGCTCTCATCGGCCATGCTCTCATCGGCCATGCCCTCATCGGCCAGGAAAAGGTCTACTCAGAATATGATCCAGAAGCCCGGAGAACCGGGTGCCCTCATCGGCCATGCTCTCATCGGCCATATCCTCATCGGCCAGAAAGAAGGCCACCCAAAATATGATCCAGAAGCCCGGAGAACCGGGTGACCTCGTCGGCCATGCCCTCATCGGCCATGCCCTCGTCATCCATAGATAGCCTCTAGAACAGGATTTTATACTAATCATTTCTATACACTTTGTATCCGGCCCATTAGTGGCCCTGTTGTAAATGGGCCTCCCAAGCCCAAGACTTGGGAGCCCAGCCCTAATTTTCTCTATAAATACTCCCCTTGGGAGTAGTTGTAAGGGTTCACAAAATTCATTAATACAATTCACTTCTTTCTAGAATCTGGACTTATATAGTTCATCAATTTTAAAATAAATTAAAAATGTTAAATAAAGAACATGAATTACTTTAATAATTAAGAGCACACTCACCGTCTGAAAGATGGAGCTACAAACACTCGCGTGATGCTGTAATACCATCTCATGTAGTCTGCAGAAACAGATGGGACAAATGTCGGCGTCCCAGGTACAACAAGCTCCGCTCGCCTATCCCATATAGCCACGTATCGGGCATGTATGAGCGACCAATCCTCTGTAGGCTTCCCGCGCCTATCCAGCTTATGAAGATCTACAAAAGTGTCGACAGGTGCTAGAATGACCTGCTCATAGCCAAACTGCCGCATAACACGATCAGGCAAATGCTGGAATAACATGCTCATAGCCAAATGCCTATTGATTAAATATTAATACGTATTTTAGAATATTGTTAATCACAAGAGAGTTAATATTACATACAAAATTATACTCTCCATTAATAATTATCTCAAGAGAGTTTTTTTCCTTAAGACAAACTTGAATATACAATATTTTGATTGAAGCGGCTAGCCATGAATTGGATGCTGCATATTTTTGGAGAATGCATTATACTCCATCCCCATTCAAATGTTTGAAACATTAGCCTTTTGGACAAAGTTTAAAATTTCTCATAGTTCTGTATTTTTAGATGAAAAATTCTCAAAAATTGAAAGTGTCGTGTATATTTAAATACAATTCAAAGAAGAAAGTGCAAGGAGTACATTGTACTTTGTCTCATTGGACATAAGGTTATTTGACTGGAAACTAAACAAGAAAAAGAATTTCAGATCAGAACTAGTACAAATTCGATCTGCTTTTAGCTCCTCCAAAACAGGACCGCATTGAATAGATTCTTACACTGATTTAATGAGAGTAGTGTATGAGATCAGTAGAACAGTAGCAATCTGAGAATCGTACCCAAAATCAGACCAGGTATACCCAATTGTGATTCCAATTCCACCTTCTATATAAAGCTTTTTCATTTCTGGTCCCTAAAAGCTAAGAGCCTTAACCAGATCCTTTGTACGTAGATCCAGTTCTTTTTCCGATTCTCAGCACTGGTAGTTCACATTTTGATTCAGACCATATCCGACTCAACTTTGCAATACTCAAAGTCATCTTTAAAAATTTCATGCATTAGTAGTATGATCCTTTCATGCAATTTTACAGACTATCTACTTAGTTATCTTGCAAATCAAACCACAACAAACAATGTGTTTAGCATAACCCGGTCATTGATAAAATGTGTTTGATTGTGAATCATTTTAATTCAAAAACCAAAAATACACAAAAAGCCATCCTGTGGAAATTGAAACAAACACTGGAGCCAAAAAGGGTGTGTGGGCAGAAAGAGCAGACAACGCATGACCTCCTCAGGTTAAGCAATATGCTCAGCAAGGCTTAGAATCTTCAAGTGCTTCTTCCTCCTAAGCTCATGTGGAACCGGGCCGGAAACTCGGGTCCCTATCGGCTCACCATGCTTATTGATAAGAACCACAGCATTATCATCGAACTTGATCTCACTCCCGTCACATCGGCCTCTTGGCATTGCGGCACGAACAACCACACCATAGTGCACTTCTCCTTTCTTCACTTTACCCCCAGCCTGAGCTTCCTTGACTGAGCAAACTATGGTGTCACCCAATCGCGCCCCTTTCTTTCCCTTCAGTGCCTGTATGCACATCACTTTTTTTGCACCTGAATTGTCAACTACTTTAAGCTTGGTCCTCATTTGTATAAAGGTCCTTTGTTGCTGAAAGAGGGGAAGGGAAACTAAAAGTTCACCCACAGTTATCCAAAAGTGCAGAAAACTAGAGACATTATAAATTATAAACAAACAGTTTAAATTCAATGGTTAATCGCAATTGTTTTTTTTTTCATTTTATATGACGATACACTTACTGTCAGATAGAGACTACATACATTGATGTATAATCATGGGTTTTGAAGATATTTTTCATATCATTTTGTCGTTATTTACTCAATTTGTTTCAACTTACTTTACAAATATTAAATTTTACCAAAATCTTGAATTTGGTGGATCCAAATCCAACAAGAACCAATCTGAATAACCTGAAGCTTTTATGATCAGTTTTTGAACCCTAACAATTTGCACCCAAAATTTTAATGGCTTCCACTTTGGGCCTTGGGTTAAACCCAAACCCAACGCGCACACCCCTATTGATGTGCTCTAACTTTTGTTTGCTTCTGCCAATCAGGAAATCAAATCCAACTTATTAGGTGTGCACAAAAGTGCCACATATTCACAATTTCTCAAGGTGTCCAGCGTCCTTGATGAAACATCATTGGACAATCGGTTTACTTTAAACTACAAATTAATATATAGTGATTGTAATACCCTGTTCTTTAAAATCCATTTACAGTATCGTGAAAGAGCTGGTACTCTGATCTTAAATTTCTAACAAGTATTTAGTAAAAGGTCAAATGTAAAAATAAAATAAATAAAAAATCATATGACAGTCCAATAATATCAAATAAAAGGTGAAATGGTATCATGCCATTTGTAATTAATGGTTATCAACAGTAACAATGAACATGCAAAACCCCAAAAATCATAGTATGGAAGACGAACCTGTGTGTACAAACCATTGGATATAATCTCATTTGATACTCTCATGAACCCAGCAGAGTTGTTCAAAAGGCCACCCAACAGTGAACAGCCTACTAAAGTAGGTATACCAAACATGTAATCATAAAACCATAAATAATCAACGGGCAGATAACCAGTAAAAACTAAGAAGAGAAAGAAGCAACATGAGAAAATATGCTTGGATGCCTCTTTAGTTGGCAGAAACTACTTTGTAAATTTCATATTCATGTGTTCGATGAACCAGGATACTTGAATCAATGTGCAGCTAATTACAAACCATAAAGATGCACTAAAAACAGGTCTTGAAGTTTCAAAAGAGTGAGCTTGGATAGAGAGGGATTAAGGTTTCTTTTACTCTCTTTTTTTTTGGGGGGGGGGGGGGGGGGGGGGCTTTGGAGGGAGTAGTTTATATCTTGATCAATACTACAATTCTAAAACGAATATATGGTTATTCCAATTTTATCCCCAAAGGGACGCAAATACATAATGATTCAAATGTTATATGATCACCTACTAAGTTTTTCCTTTAAAGTCTATACATATAATAATATAGACATACAAACGCACATAGGGTCTGTGTCCGGTGAGGATGGTTAGTCCTATGAGAATTATCTGAAACAATGCACAATCTAGTTGATAGGAACCAGACATATTAGTATAGTAATTATAATAATAGAATAATAGTAAATAATTGTGATACTAAAAAAATAAGGGTTTTGGGCCAAGTAAGTCATGAGTTGGGTCAGCCCTTTTGTTTTAGTATAAGAATGGGAGGGAGGAAAGGAGAAAAGGCAGGCAGAAATTTGGGATTGGGTTGGGAATTGAAAGAGTGAGGCCTCTCTAAGAATCTCAGTTGTATTTTCTGTTCCATTACTTCGTATCAATCTACGCTATTTTCCGTTTCCGAATCCGGTTCCCATCATTGCTATCAGAGCACTCGCTCCTGGAGACACGATCCTGGAGACAGAAAGTCGGAATCGATCATTGCCAGAGCATCGATGGAGCAGTGATTGGCTTAAATTCGCGCGGAAGTTGGCTGAAACACGATCAAGGATGGTCGAGATGATGGATGAGGAACTAACGAGGGTGGTCAGCATGCTTAACCAGCTAAAAAACGTCACAGGCGAGGACGATCGAGGATGGTTCGCCATTGCCAGAATTCTAAAAGCAAGGTTTCATCGCCATCGCAATCAGCTTCACAGCGAGCCAATTCTCACAGTCCTCAGGAGTCGTCGCCAACAGTTTACTTCAGTTCGCAGCGGTCGCCAACATCTCTCCACTGTTGCCAATCGTCGCAGCGAGCAGATGTCCCCTTTTCATCGGCCGCGAGCAGATGTCCCCTTTTCATCGGCCGTGTCACGTTCAGCTTCTCACAAGGCCCATATTCCGAAGCTATCGTATCCTCCCAGTTCACAGGGTTCGCAAGCAGCTTTACACAGGGCGCAAACCTCATCATACCTCCAGGAGTCATCCACTTCCAGACCCATGGTCCACGATGAATCAGAAAATGGATCACCAGTAAATCAACCGCATACACTGACCACTGAGTTGATGCTGGTTGCACCATTAGTTCTGGAACCTGATAAGGACGATTATCTTATTCAACCTTCGGGTAAGGAATTGTCTAATAGTGCTGATGATGCTCCTGCTGAAGTTCCTCAGGATCCTATTCCTGAAGTGCATTCTGTTGTTGCAAGAGCTATTGGCTATATTATAACTGGAATGGGGCAATGATGTGATACTCTAAAATCTGAGGGCAGCAATGTTGTGAGGCCCTTACAGATTGACAAGTGGTTGAAAGGGAAAGATGGGTTTCCTGTAACTGACCTTTGGGGAGAAGAAGTTGGTTGTACCTCAGAGTTTGCTGCCCCAACTGTTTGGATTAAGCAAACAGGAGAAAGAGCATATATTTGTGCTTATCAGCCAAAGAGCCTAAAGCCCTAAATATTGTGCTTTTCATTCCCTTTACATCTGTGTTCAAAGAAGATCAAGGGTTTTTCATGAAGCAGAACATTATAGAACAAGCACCAGTTAAGGTAATCAAAGTTGAGGAAAAACTAGAAGGAAGTTTGGGTGGTGAGAATGCATACCATCTGAGTGGATACTGCTATTTGCTGGTGGACTGTAATCGATGTATCTCAAGAGTTTCACCTCCTGAAGAAGTATCAACTCTGAGTCAGGACTCCTTAATGGCACTGACAAAACTCTGGGAAGAGGTTTATATGGAAAGAAACAAATCAAAGTGAGAGGGTCCAAGCAATGGAAAAGATGAGGAAATATGTCTGAAAGTTTATAAGAAAACAGCAAGGTACTGGGAAGGAAGAGGTGCAATGATGAAGATGATGGTCAGAGTTGTTTCCTATCACCCACCTTGAGCACAAGGTGGTTGTCTAAGGGGAGAGATATGATAGGAACCAGACATATTAGTATAAAGATAAGGGTTTTGGGCCAAGTAAGTCATGAGTTGGGCCGGCCCCTTTGTTTTAGTATAAGAACGGGAGGGATGAAAGGAGAAAAGGCAGGCAGAAATTTGGGATTGGGTTGGGAATTGGGAGAGTGAGGCCTCTCGAAGAGTCTCAGTTGTATTTTCCATTTCATTACTTCATATCAATCTACGCTATTTCCCGTTTCCAAATCTGGTTCCCATCACTAGTTCATGGGGTTGCACATTTCTGGTTGAGACAATGCAAAGTTTCCGTGGCAGAAGAAGTTTGACCTATTAACAAAAATGCCACCTAGTTTTCTAAACCATTGAAAAACGCTTTTCTGTTTCAAAGAATGTACAATTCTCAAATTCAATGGACCAGATTCCGTATCATTTTTCACATTAGGTCGTATTCTCATTTGATTCTAACTCCAAAGTCCTCCATCCAAATACTATTTAAATACCAGCAAGAGCAAGGGATGTGAATCTGACAATTAAAAGTGGCATCTCTCTTACCACGGCGCAAATGAGAAGAAGATGACGCCATCACTAGAGACAAATTTACGGATGAACTTTCAGGACCCTTATTTTTACCTGACAATAAATATGCATTTGTCAGTCCACCAATATAACATAAACCTGGTAGAGCAAAACTTGAAACAGAGCTATTTTAACTAGTGGAATTCAAGAGCCTGCACATCCAGCATATAAACTACGTACTACGTAGTATGTTTTAGAAAAATTCTAAGCAAAAGAGAAAACTATGGGTCCATTTGGAAACTCTGCAAGCATTTTCTGGCAAAAATCTGGTTGTTTGATTTATGCCATTATTCAAAATTCAAAAGTAGTACCTGCAACGTAAAAAATTGAAATTTGATCTGGGCAGTAACTCCAAAAAAATGATCGTCGGATTGTCCGCATTATCTGTGATTGTCCTTTTAATTAAAATATACTTATCCTAATCAGACAAAAACAAATTGGGTGATGAAGGTAACTGATGGAGTATATGGGTCTGAGCCCCAGGACCCACATACTCGGAAGAACGGAGCACAAGACAACAGAGTGGCGCCCTCGTCGGCCAAGACGCCCCCGTCGGCCGAAAAGGTGCCAACTCGGATTACGGTCCTGAGTCTAAGGGTCTCGGGTGCCCTCGTCGGCCGTGCCCTCGTCGGCCACGCCCTCGTCGGCCTCGAAGACCTCCCAGAATCAAGTCCTATACTTACTCATTTGTACAGCCCATTAGAGGCTTTGTATTCGGCCCAGTAGCGGTCCAGTTGTAAATGGGCCTCCCAAGCCCAAGGCTTGGGAGCCCAACCCTAATTTTCTCTATAAATACTCCCCTTGGGAGTAGTTATAGGGGTTACAAATTCATTCTATTGAAGCATTTTGTTGCACTTCTCTCTCTAGCTCTCACTTCTCTCTAGAATTTAGGAGTTAATACTCTATCATTTGGTGCTCTCGTTGAGAGCTAGAACAATCAAGTTAGCACCCTTCGTCGCTACCAAGCACAGCTAACCACTGATCATGGGGAGAACTAAGTCAAACCGCAACCTCGTCAGCAAAGCCATCCCTGAGGACCAAGAGCCCAGGGAGCACGATGAGGACGCCACGGCCGACCAGGTCGGCGGAGGGGACCTCTTCCAGGAAGCCTTCAACCTCACGACGGACCTCCGCAACCAACTCAACAGCGGAGTCCCCGACGCCCGCCTCGGCCTGGAAAAGAGACGGGCTGAGAAGACGGACCACGCCCCGGCCCAGCCTATGGCCGCGGCCTCTCCGTCCGTGGATCCACAGGTCCAGGCCGCGCTGTCGGTCATCATCGCCAGCCTGGCTCAGAACCCCACCGTCCTCAGCGCGCTCTTGCCAAGGACCGGGGGAAACGTCACTCCACCTCCTCACCCCCAACCACTGGCCGACCAGATAGGCAACAATGAGGGGGTTGTGGCCCAGGACACGGCGTCGTCCCACTCCCACCCTGCTTCCCCTCTTCGGCCCGGGCAGACCCCAGCGCGTGGAAAAGCCTCTGCCTTTAATAGGCTAGGTGACACGCGCCGTCGTCCGGTTTCGGAGAGGATGGCGGGACGGATTGGTGATCTTCGTCCTGGCTCGCCAAGGGAAAGTTTGGGGTCTGTGTCCCGGACAGCGGACCAGCCCCGCCCGGACAAGGGCAAGGGGAAGTTACACGAGGATGACGCGCGTCACCAGATCAACGCGGCTCACAACGAGCGCCTGAGGAACCAGCCGGGCGCCGCTGCGGCCGATAGGGACCCCCGGGACGAGGTCATCGCCCAGCTGGAAAAGATGTTGGCTCAGATGGAGGCCAAGCAGTCGGCCAACGTCCCTACGGCCGGCGCCTCCAACGACCCCGGCCTCAACGCGCTCATGAACAAAGTCAGCGCCCTGGAGAGGGAGCTGGCCGAAGGGCGGGGTGACCCCATCATCCAGGTCAGGACTAGGACCCCTTTCACCAACAGGGTCCTCTCGGCCCCTATTCCTGAGAAGTACAGGGGAAACGCCATCAAGTCTTACGATGGCTGATCAGACCCCCAGGAGCACTTCAGCCGCTATCAAAACAACATGCTGATGGTGAACGCGTCCGACGAATACCTCTGTCGTTGGTTCCTCTCTACTCTCGAGGGGCCAGCGTACGAGTGGTTCAACGGACTGCCAGAGGGAAGCATCGACTCATGGCAGGATCTCGCCCAGCGCTTCCTCACTCACTTTGCCGGGAGGAAGCGCGCCAAGAAGTATTTCACCCACCTCCTCTCCGTCAAACAGCAGCACGAGGAGTCCCTCCGGTCATTCATCGACCGGTGGACGAGGGAGACCGAGGAGGTCGAGGGGGCCGATGAGCGCACCCTCCTCGCCTTGTACCAGGGAGCCCTCCGCAGCTCCCCGTACGCCAGGAGCCTCATCACCGACCCCCCGAGGTCGTACGCCAAGGCGCTCCAGCGCGGAGGCTTGTATGCCGACGCCGACGAGCTCCACAATCACAAAAGAGAGGGGGGTCATCCCCCCAAGAAGACAAATCCTTCGCCGGCCTCGGGTCCGTCCCCGGCCGGCCAGGGTGCCCAGGGCCGCCACGGCTCTGGTGGACAGAGTAAGAAAGACCGCCACTGGCGGTCGAGGCTGGAACGGCCGGGGGTAGCCCTCACCCACCCGGTCGGCACCATCCTCGATTATGCCGAGAAGCATGGCCTCATCGAGCAGGCTCCTCGGCCGGCCGAGGAGATCCTAGCCATCCAGCAGGGCGGCATGTACTGCCGGTTCCACAAGAACTCGTCGCACAACACCGACGATTGCATCACATTGAAGAAGGCCATCGAGCGCCTTATTCGCCAGGGGGAACTCTCCCAGTTTGTCAAAGGTGGCCCACGGAAAAACACTTGGGTAAACACCGGCAAACGTGGGGGCGAACCCTCTGCGAAGAAGCGCGAGATTGGTAGGCTCAGCGACGACGAGGACTTCGAGGAGCCCCCGCCGAAAAAGAATCACATCCACCTCATCGTAGGCGGGAACACTGGGGGGACTCCGCCACTCAGAGAAAGAAATGGGCCCAATCCCTTTACATTGGAGAGGTGTCCCACGTTCCCCCCCAGCCAAAGAAGCAGCGAACGGAGGCGATCACCTTCACCGACAAGGATCTGCCTCCGGGTACGGAATCACACAGGGACCAACGCTTGGATGAAACAAGGCATCGCAATCCTGAGGATGACCAGGACGAAGCGGGCACTGCACACACCCGCGGAAGAATAGCCGATACAGGCACTGGAACCAAGGCTGTCGGTCAAGCGAAAGTTCTCCGGAAATTGGTTCAAGTGTTTGCCAAACACTTGGAAAAACTCCTTTGGCCGACAGCGGTACCACAAAGAAGTAAATGCCCGGCATTTACACTTGGAAAATTCTCTAAGTACTCAAGTGGAAGAACTCTGGACGAAGCGGGTACATATATATTCCAAGGCCGTTAGCTACCTACGCCCTACATGTGTATTTGAAAAAATTAGAAGTCCAAAAGACCAAGGTGAAGGTGCCCTTATCGGCCAGAACACAGGGATACAAACCGACAACGGCCCTGGCCAAAACACCTGGGACGAATCCAAGGCCAGGACGATAAGGACGTCAACGCCTGGACGGAACGGACACCGCGGTCAGGGCTAAAAAGGGAATCACCTAAAAGGAACACCGGTCAAGCCGACCAGGCCACCAGGCCGAAAGGAAATCACCTAAGTGGATCCCAAAACACTTAGAAAATTTTTGACAAATTCCTAAGTGTTACGAAACTACGTCCAAGCCGACCAAGCCACTAGGCCGCAAAGACAGGAGCTACATGGACCCAAAAACACTTGGGAAATTTTTGAAACAAAATCCTAGGTGCTACGACAGTAAAGCAAAGAGGCATAGGCCGACCAGACTACTGGACGGGAAGGCCAACCTCACGGACGTAGCGGACACTCGCGGGTGACCCAAGTTATGACTTAATACTTAGACGATCTACAGAATTGAAATGACAGCAAACAAGTACACAAAGGATTCAAGGCCGAAAAGGACAGCAAAAATTTCTTCAATTGATAAATTTCATTACAATTGGGGGGCACTACGGCCGTTACATCACTTGGCAAAAATTTGAAAAGCTAATTACAAAAAATGGCCACTCAAGCTTCGGGGGCACCTCCATCTGCGGCCGCCTCATCGGCCTCATCAGCTCCCTCTTCGTCCTCAGCTTCTTGGCCGGCAGCAGGCGCAGCACTGGTAGCATCATCCAGGAAGTCGAACTCAGTGTAGTCCGGTTCGCCGAGGCCGGAGCTTTCTATGGGGGACTCCCGCTCCGACAGCGGAAGCTTGGCCTGCTCTTCGGGATCCTTCATCAGCTTGGGCAGCTTCAGGTTCCGTCTAGCCCATCCAGAAGTGTAGTTCATGGCCTTCAACGCCCGGGATAGCCGCCGACACAGGAGCCTTTGCATCCGCTCCTGGCCCAGGTTATAGTAAACAGACATCTCCCGGCTGAAATACTCCCGGCCGGCAGGGGAGTTCATCCCCCAATTCTCCAGCCTGGCGGCCACCACTTCGTAGCACCAGGGGAGCCTCTCATCGGCCTTCCACCCCTCGGCCAAGAACTTCTCGACGGCCTCATCGGCAGCCTTCACGACGGCGGCCTCGGCCTCAGCCTTCGCCTTGGCAGCCTCCTCGCTCCTGCGCTTCTCGGCCTCAAGTGCCCTATGGGACTCCGCGAGCTCCCTTTTGCTCTCTTCGAGCTTGACCAGGGCAACGTCCCTGGCCGCGACGGCCTCATCAGCTTTGGCCTGCAGCGCCTTGGCATCCTCCCGGAGCCGGTCAAGGCAAGCTACCGCCTCGTCGGCCGAGGCAGCCTTCTGCTCCAGCGCTTGCAGGCGGACTATCTCCCAGTACTGCCTCTTATGGCTTTCCATAAGCATGAAGGCACTCTGCATAAGAAAAACAGCAAAAATTCTACATAGACGAAGAGAGACAAGAATATAAGGACAATCACTTACTTGGACGAGGAGATCCATGCCGCCTTCATAAATCTTCGGGTCCTCGAGCTTCTTCAAATGAGCCCGATCTTTGGCCGGCATGGCCTTGGCCAGGACGACGTGGCCGGGGACGAGCTCATTAAACACGCCCCCGCCGACGGGGTACTCTATCACTTTCTGATAGGTGGCACCGGCAATCTCCTTGCCGGCCCTCTGCGTCCGTGGTTCCTGGACGAGAGGAAGCGCTGGGGCGGCATCATCAGCAACAGTAAGGTCCACGACGGGACCACCATCGCCCACGCTGGGGACAGTAAGCGTACCGGCCTCACTGGCCGGAGAAGGGGAAGGAGCCCTCTTCGTCTTCTTAGAGACGCTCACGCCGGCCTCGGTCAACTTTTTCTGGCCGTCAGTGGCCGGTCTCTTTTTCTTGGATGGGGCAGGCTTTGGGGCCGCATCAGCAGTAGCCCCGCTCCCACCAGCAGCGGCACGTCTGGCCGCCTCGGCCGCCTTAGCAGCAATCTCCTCGGCCGCTTTGGCCTTCGCAATGGCCATCATGGAACGGCGGTCCATGACAAAATCTACAAAGGGAAAACACAAATAGATTAGTAAGGCAAAGGACAAAACATAAAGACATAAAGCCGAAGAAAGAATTACCATCGGCCTCAGCAGGAATGCCCAAGTCCGGGCCGTCGGCCTCCTCAAAGGTGGTGGTCATCCTCGGCCAGAGTTGGAGGTCATCCTCCTTGTCACCATAGACATAGTACCTCACGAAGCCGAGGGCGGCCATTTTGTACTCAGTGATGTAATCTTTCACGCTCCTCGGCCCCCCCTCCAGGAAAGCCTCCACCTGAGCGTCCAAAATAGAGCTCTTCGGCGGGTCATGCAGATTAAATCTCCCGGTGTGGCCGAGGGAGGGAAACTCGGTGCCACTCTCACCAATGGACACAAACACGAACTTGCTCTTCCACCCATGAATGGACGTAGGCAAATCCGTGAAGCTCCTCTTCTTCGGCAGCTGCTGAAGAGTAGCGTAGGCCGCACAGTTCTTGTGGCTTCCTCGGCCTATCTGGTACAGATTCATAAATAAGGCCGTCGTCGGCTTGTAGCCCAACTCCTCACACCGGAGCAAGAAACCCACTATCAAGGAGTAGCTGTTCGGCGTCAGCAAGGCCGGAGGAAGCCCTACCATGTCCAGGTACTCAGTAATGAAAGGGTGAAGAGGAAACCTCAACCCCTTAGCAAAGCTCATCGGGTATACTCCAAAGTATCCCGGTGGTGGAAGAAGAACATGGTCTGTCGGCTTGGGCGCCCTAACCCGCCCGAACGGCCCCACGTACATCTGGGCAACCAGATAGTCGGCCGCACTACTCTCCGGCTTTATCAGGTAGATGTTGGTGAGATCCAAGTAGGAGACGTCGGGCCCACTCTTCGGCCTCCTCACTCTCTTCGGCTTGGCGGCTCCCTTCACGGCGGACACCGGCCTCGGGCACGGAATGACAGCAGAAGTGGACGCCCCGTCCACCACTCGGGACGCACCTACGTCCTCACCCCTTGAAGAAGAGGCGGACTCCTCGTCCTCGCCTTCCTCGTCCATCAGCTCCGCGGATTTGTATGGACTTAAACGCTCTATCTCCTCTTCAAACTCCTCGAGCACCTCGTAGTCAAGCGACCTCGTGGAGGGCTGGTCGTCGTAGGGGTAGTAGTCGTCGTTCAAGCTCTTCATTACTACTACTACGGGCTTAAGGAGAACTTACGATCTAAAGGTGTTTAAATGCCTAACACTAGATCAACTACTTACGGAGCAAAATATGAAAAGTGAGGAAGATCGTGATGAACACTAACCTCAAACAATGAAGAACACGAAGAACAGGCTTGGGAGTTTCTCTCTAGAAAATCGGCCAGCACTTCGACAAATTCAGAATGCAAATGTGATTCTTCGTCGGAGGGGAAGGGGTATTTATAGACCCCCCCCCCACCAACGGTCACTACACGTGGCACTCTCCCAATGGCCGCATCAACGGCCACCAATGGGAGGCCACCACGACACCAACGGGCCAGGCCCAAGCCACATCAACGGACTACTGGCAAATCAGACTCTACGGCCTACACACGCTCAACGGCTTTACAACTGCCAGCAAGCGCCCACAACGTCTCACTTACTCACCAAGATCACAAATGCCACACAATAAGAAGATGGCAACGGCCAGGTACGTGACGGCCACAGAACAAAGGGAACAAATAGCCCACAGCCTTCGGCTCCTCGTAATAACCCTTGATGATAACTCTCTACAAGCGATCTGCGCACAAGGGTTCTCCCACAGGGTTACCTTGGCCAGAAAATCGCCATGAGAGTTGGATTCAGGGGGACTACGGCGAGACCGCTTCGGCCAGGGACTCAAGCAACTCCTTCACCCCTCACACTCTTCGGCTTGAAGCAGTGGGGGACTGGGGGACTACACCGGCCTCAACAAAACAAAAGAGTGCGAATAAGGTAACCACAAAGCATGGCCACATCATCCATACAAGCACAACGGAACTTCATCGGCCAAAGGCCCATAACATCACTAGCAACGGCCAACAAGCCATTAGAGGCAAGGACACTCATCGTCCTCTGCTAACAGAATCTTGACGGGCTCCTCGGCCAAAAACACGAAGGCCAACCAGCAACGGCCAAAAGGAGTGCGCAAACACCCTCATCGGCCACACAAAGGAAATGAGGCCATCGTCTTCAAAGCAAGGAACAACCTCAACGGCTACACCGGCCCAAACATAAACTTCAACCACCAACGTCCAGGAAAGGGAAAGCGCGCCTTCAACGTCCACCATTGAAAGAAGGACACTCATCGTCCCAAAACAAATTAAGGAAACAACGGCCTCCCCGCCCACAGCAAGGAACAGGTAACGGCCAAAGCACAGAACAGGATCACCAAAGAGGAAACAACGCCAACGCCGCAACGGCTAACGGCCTGGAAATGCCCGCGTCGGCCAAAAGCAACAAAGCACAGAAATCTACTCTCCTTCACTTCGTCTACGTCTCAGCTTAGAGAGTGGGGGACTCCTGATGGAGTATATGGGTCTGAGCCCCAGGACCCACATACTCGGAAGAACGGAGCACAAGACAACAGAGTGGCGCCCTCGTCGGCCAAGACGCCCCCGTTGGCCGAAAAGGTGCCAACTCGGATTACGGTCCTGAGTCTAAGGGTCTCGGGTGCCCTCGTCGGCCGTGCCCTCGTCGGCCACGCCCTCGTCGGCCACGCCCTCGTCGGCCTCGAAGACCTCCCAGAATCAAGTCCTATACTTACTCATTTGTACAGCCCATTAGAGGCTTTGTATTCGGCCCAGTAGCGGTCCAGTTGTAAATGGGCCTCCCAAGCCCAAGGCTTGGGAGCCCAACCCTAATTTTCTCTATAAATACTCCCCTTGGGAGTAGTTATAGGGGTTACAAATTCATTCTATTGAAGCATTTTGTTGCACTTCTCTCTCTAGCTCTCACTTCTCTCTAGAATTTAGGAGTTAATACTCTATCAGTAACCTTATACATATCTCTTATATTCCTAAGACTAATTGCTTCATTTAATGTACTCTGTACTTATTAAGCAATCATCCACATTATTTATACAGTTATACTTCAGACTAGACATGCAAGAAAGATCTAAAGTTCGAAGAAAATAGTGTATTTCCGAGGGTAGTACTTCTGGAAAATAATTCTTTATATAAACATTATTTTATAATGTATACAAAAAAGTAGGCAGCTAAAAACTAAGACATTACAAACTAGAATAAGCTGAATTTATTTTATGACACCAAAAGTACTGTAAGATGCAAGTATTATAGTAATATACAAACTGAAATGGACCAAAACTATATAATGATGGAATAACACACTCACGTCATGAAATAGTAATGTACAAAAAGTGCTTGTTCTACCTGTTTCTTTTTAGTTATTGAAAAAATATTTTTTACCAAATTACTTTAAAAGTTATATCTCAAATACTAAAGGGCCAAATTTAGTGAATCTGTTTTAATATCCATTATTAACTTTTAGTATAATTAGAGTTATCTATTAATATATAAAAAATGTGGAGTATAATATACTCCGTATATAGTTGTAGTCAATTGGCCTATTTTATAAATTAAACAAAATATATAAATGTTTTTCCCTTTACCCTTATATTGAAACATCAACACATTATAGGCATTAGATGTTTTGTCTTTTAACATTAACCATTTCTTTGCTACAATTCATCATTCCACTCATTTTATGTCTGTGTTTTTAAGTATTTCTAACAGTTCATCTTCACTGCACATGTACAGCTAAGTACTTATATTATAAACCCAACAAAGTCGGCAAATTCGAAAAGGCATCACAAAATGCAAGATATAAAGCGAATCGGAAAATACTTCTCATTTGGTGGAAGGCGGAATTTTTTTTGCCTTCGTGACAAAAGCAAAGTAAAAAATAAAAATATAGCTTCAAATAAGCTGGGTGAAACTGCATGTAAAGATCAAAGATTACCTTTCCTGATTTTCGGAGATATCCTTGGATGCGCTTGAACAAAGACCTGTAGAGAGGATAAGTAGGTAAGAAGATCGTCGAGTGAAGAGGAGAATGTGAGGGAAGTAACAGGTTTTGATAATTGAAAGGGATCAAAATGTGCGGAAAGAGTGTGTTTTGTGACGGGGAGTGCTTGAGGCAGGGGTGAGAATCGGGCGGGTTCGGGTCGGGCGGGTGGGTGAACCCAATACCCTTTCGGGTTTCGGATGTGTAATATGGATATCTTACCCTATGTTTTTTTACTTAGATATTTTCGGGTTTTATTGTATTTCGGGTAGGGCGGGTTCGGATCTGGTATCGGGTTTAGTCGGTTTCAAGTTTCAACTAAAATAATTTGAAATTGCAAAATAATTTGTAATTTCAACACCAGTAAATCTAAAATATTACAATTGCAAAACATAATTTGATTCTCATACGGCCATAAATAATGTGAATATTACAAAGTAAAGAGTAGGGAGGATCAAAATTGTAACAAAGAGTTTTAGCATATTACAAAATACAGATTACTGAATTACACAGTTCATTAATCATTAACATACAAAGTTCCAACTAGTCAAGTACACAAAAATGCAAAAATGCTTGAAGACTTTGAAGTTCCACGACTATCTTCCACAGTTTGAAGTTTCCACCTGCATAAGAAAGTTAATGAACACATGGAAAGCAATAGACATGTAGTAGAGTAGTACAATATGTCAATAACAACTTAACAAGGATAAGTTAATGAAACAAATCAGAGAAATCATTGATTCAACGACTCAGAATGCTTGTTATCCTTCACAAGGAATATAGGGGCAACTGCTACAATTTCAGTTAAAACTTACAAGTTATGAACTGAAAGAGCTATACCAACCTTAAACCATACATTCAGTAATGTGTGGAAGCTTCATCATAGCCAATGAAAATTAATAGAAATGATAGAGTAAAGGATTAATGGGATTATGAGATACTTACACAAAACCTGCAAATCAGAGCAAGGTACAAGGGTCCAGGGATAGTTGTCACTTGACAGCATGTGCATGCTTTCCAGAATGACAGAATCATGCTCATTCAAATGTAACAAGCGCATAATAGTGTAATACATTATACTCATATTGGCAGCAGGTTCAACACCAAATCATATAGCAATGTACTCATGTTTCATACACATTCAAATGGAAAAACAAGCATATAATGGCACAAATCAGACATTTCATAGAGCTCGGAATGCTTATTATCATTCACAATGGAAATAAGGGGCATCTGTTATAGCCTACCATTTCAGTTACAACTTACAAGTTACCATTCATGAACTAAAAGAGCAATATCAACCCTAAACCCTATATGCAGTACCAGTAATGAGTGGAAGCTTCATCATAGCCAATGCCAAATCATAGAGTCATGTATTCATGTTCATACACATTCAAATGAAAAAACAAGCACATAATGAAACAAACCAGGCATTTCATAGAGCTCAGAATGCTTTGTATCATTCACAAGGGAAATAGGGGGCATCTGCTACAATTTCAGTTGCAACTTACCATTTTATGAACTGAAAGAGCAATACCAACCCTAAACCCTAAACCCTAAACCCTAAACCCAAGGATAAAAGCACTTTGCTTTTTCACTTCTCTACAGACTCTGAAGAACCCGGTTCACTCTTTGTACTCGTTTGAGTACTAGAGTACAAAAAGGGTTGTTCAAATTAATCAGAAGGCAATTATGTAAGCAACTAAGCAACACATGATATATTGATAGGTGTATATTAAACTTCCACATAGTTTATGTACATGACAACCTGTATAGGTGTATAGGTGCATATAAATACATCACTGCCACATCTCCACACTAGCCAGTACTCAGTAGGCAAGTAGGCAACACATGAATAAGAGCTGTACATAAGGAGTCAGTAAGAGCTTCCACACTTCATTATATAATATATAGCTTCCACACTTCATTCATATTTTTAATAAACAGATTTGAAATTCTGAATGCATTATAAGAGTTGTACATATGCAGTCAGTAAGACAGTAACTCAATCAGGACATCAGGTGTGTATATATACTAATACAGATCAACAATTAACAGGGACAACTGGACAAGCAAACATTCGAACAGATCTGTACATGACTGAACTCAGAAATCAAGTGTGAACTCAACAGTCATTCAGTCAACACGCAAGTTTCAGAAATATATACGAACATCACAAGTTCACAACTGAAAACTCAGAACATGCATGCATCATGAAGGACTAATCATACCATTGTACAAACATTTTAAAGTATTTTATACCTCAAAGGCTCGAAGAAGAATGTTTGGGAATCAGTCTCAAATCTCAAGTCTCAACTACTCACGCTGGGCTAGAAGACTATCAAGGCTTCCACACTTACACTAGGTTGAGGACTACAGCCCTACAACGATGCCAACGGCGGCCGATGAATTGAGAAGTCAGAGTCTCTCACTCCTCTGAGGCTCTGAGTCGTAGAGAGTGTATGTTAGGGTTAGGGTTAGCCGCTTAGAGAGTTAGAGAATAGAGATAGAGTGTAACTTAGGGTTATGTGGGGGAAGCCGGGAAGGGATAACCGGATAAGGGTAATATGGCCTTATGGGTTATGGCTTGGGGGAAATGGGCTTAGGCTAGGTCGGGTTTTCGGGCGGGTCGGGTAGGGATTAGGAGAACCCTACCCGCTGGGTCTCGGGCCAAGCAAATCGGGTTGGCGGGTCGGTTTCAAGGATTCGGGTCGGGTCAACCGACCCATTCTTAAAAATTCGGAGTAATTCGGTCGGGTTTTTCGGGTAGGGTCGGTTTTGCTCAGCCCTAGCTGGAGGAAGAGGACAGGGATGCCCGATGGATGCGATCGTAGGTCAGTCTTTTCTGGAATGGAATGAGTGCACGGATTCCCCCAATGATGAGTCGAAAAGGTAAAGCCCTAGTCTGAAATGAGTGGCAATATTCTTGCCGAAGGTCGTCCTTTTCTGAGGGCGAGTGTGTTGATTTGCCGAAGGCTCGCTGTTGTTGTCCTGGGAGACGCTGAAGGGGAGCCCCAATCCATGAGAATGAGGGTGCGACGAATGTAGATGATAAGTTGAGGGTTGTGGTACCTCGGGGGGTTCCCTTGTTGCGTGGCCGGGGGGATAGCTGATGAAGGTTCCCGAGGGGGCTGCCCGTTGTGAAGTAGTGGGCTTCTGAAGGAGTGAGCCCGAAGGCACTTGTGATGTATTATGAGGGGCATTGGCCGGGAGCACTTCTGGGCAAGTGTACCTGGGGGCTCCTCTTGATGAAGTGGAGTGAAGGAGGCAGCCCGGGTTCCTAGAATATAGCCGTTGTGATAGAGCCGTTAGAAGATGTAATGTCGGAAATATAGCCGTTGGAGGGGGGCCTCCACATGGCGTGCGTTCGTTGGCTGTCTGTGGGCGGGCGTCACCGATTGGGCAGCTCGTCGGTTTGTAATGATGACTTTGTACCCGGAGGCCCGGTTTTCAGGCCCAAGCCCGGATCTGGGCGCCTATAAATACCCCAAGGCCAGGGTCACTTCCCGTTGTGCGATTTCAGTGTAGCGAAGCTCTGCCGGATTTTTTCTAGAGAGAGAAACAGTCCTTCGATAAAATCAAGCTCCCAGAGGTCAGTTCTCCATTTGTTCTCCATATTTTGGTTAGTTTAGTATCTGAGGCCTTAGATTCAGTGTTTAGAGTCCGTCTAGGAACCCTTCTGCATTTGAGCCCTTCGACCCCCCTTTGTGAAAAATGTCATCGGCGAGTGATTCGCAAGACATCTCTAGGGAGCCCTCAGTAGCTGTCGAGAGTATATCGGAGGTGGGGTCTTCTAGCCAAAGCTCCTTGGGCAATGGTGACTTGACCATAGCCGAGGAGATGCAGAAGAGCCTCCATCTGGAAATGGAGGCCGAAGTCTTTGAACAAGAATACGAAGACGAAGAGTTAGCTCTCGCATTCCAAGTGGCTAAGGACGAGGCCCAGAAGGAGAGCATGAGGGTCACCGTCGCTGTTCCACCCCCCTCGGGGTGATGCAGTATCCGGGAGCTCTCGGCCCCTTGACGTGATACCCCTCAGCGTGGCTCCGACTAGGAAGAAGAAGGCGAGGGCGGCCCCGAAGAAGAAGCAAGCTGCCGTTGATGCGGGTCAACCGGTTGGGATTCCCGAAGGGTACTCTTTCCTCAATACTGCGGCCTTAGAGGTGAAGACAAGGGCGACGACGGCGGAGTACCAGGCTACGCAATTCCTCGTGGGTCCTTCAGCGCAAGTGGTAGAACCGAGGCCGAATGATGTGTTGTTGAGGGCGCCCGAAGGGTGCTTTGCTGTCCATCTACTTTCGGTGGAGTTGGGGCTTTGAATTCCCCTTTATCCTTTTTTGTTGGAGTATTTGCGGTTCGTAAGACTTGCTCCCTGTCAACTGACGCCGAATAGTCACTCTTACATAGAGGGCTTCCTGTCCTTGTGCCGGAGCCGGGGGGTCTCCCCAACATTGGAGCAGTTCTTCCTGTCATTCAACTTATGACGGGGGGGCATTCAAATGTCGGAGGTTTCGGGAACTTGCAACAGCTTCCGGGGTTCAGACTCTTCGATGAGGTGCCTTCGTCCCATAAGGGATGGAAGGACAAGTTTTGCTATATTTGCCTTGCGGAGAACCCTTTTCCTGCTCCCCTTTGTGACAGTTTCCAGCGGCATCCAAAGGCGGAGGGTGCCATTCTAGAAAAGAATGGCCGGAAGCTATCCAAGAAGCCGGAGGGATCTGACAAACATGTAAAAATCAAGGACGCTACTCTTTCGGATAAGCTGTTCAAAATTGGCTTCCGTCGGTATCGTTTGATGGGGGAGAAGGCCGAAAGCTACCCCGAAATCGACCGTGTGTATGAGAGTGTTGAAGGTTGTTACCTTGCCGAGGGCTTTAGTTCTTATACTTAGATTTTTTTGTTTGCTTTATTGTAGTGGTAAGCTAATATCTGTATGCCTTCCTTATTTTTCAGGACCAGATATGGATGCCAGGAAACTTGCCAAGCTGAAAAGGCAGCTGGCCAAGGAGGGGAAGAAGGAGGAGGCCCCGGCACAACAGAGGGCAGTGGATGAAATATTCCCGAAGGCGGGAACTGCGGAGGGGGGCCAAGATGTAGGGCAGATGACCAAAGTTGCGACCGGCGAGGACGCTGGTTCTGATGCAGGGGGCTCCCCGGGGA